CCACCCCCACCCCCGCCCCCAAGATCCACTTTTGGAAAATGCTGCCTTGCTCCATTATCTGTTCCCATCACCACCTTACCCCCAGGCTTCTGCAACTGGCCACCATGGCCAAGCAGAACTCTTGCGTGGGGGAGCATGGCGCATGTAGGTGGTAAGTCACAGACATCCAAAGTTCAGACTTCTGCTTGGAGGAACCTCCTCATCCCCGAGCTTCGGAAGCTGCTGAAATCGGACCTACTTGAATTGGGTAGGTCCCAACTGAAGTCGCGAGAACCGGAGGCCCCACTTTAATCGGATCACTATCTCCTCACACCCTCTACCTTCTTACCCAGACCTCTTGGGAAAGCCAAGGTCTTTTGGGGGTGGGGGAGGGAGTAGCAAAGGCCATGGGGAGAAGAACCACGTCAACTAAACTCTGAACCCCAACCTCGGAGCCCACTGCCCTCCAGTCTGTGCCTGATTCATGATGACCGCGGGATGGAAGGGCCCCCTGGGGTTTCCAAGGCTGTCACCCGCTGGGGGCCTGTTGCCACATCTTCCTCTTGTTATGAAGAAGCAGATGGTAAAGATTTTAGGCTCTGGGGGCCGTGCACTCTGTCGCAACCAGGAGAGAGCCGCTGTAGGACAAATGTCAACAGCGAGCCCTGGCCTGGGTCCAGGGAGGCTTTGTTTACAAAACCAGGTGGGGTGGCCGCAGGGGGGCCCTGGGCTATGGATCCCCAGCCCCTGCCTATGACTGCCAGGAACCAACAGACCCTGCTCCCCGTCGCTGGCGGGCTCTTCCTGGTGACTCGAAGACACTGCACATACGCTCTCATTTCTCTCTGTCAATCAGCCACTGGACGTGGGGATTCCCCACCCCTGTGAGTTGTGGCTCTGCCATGGTCCCTGCCTGCTTCTCAGCAGCTAGACCAGCAGTTCTCAACCTGTGGGTTGAGACCCCTTTGCAGGCCCAAGGACTCTTTCACAGGGGTCGCCTAAGACTGTCAGAAAACACGTATTTCTGATGGTCTTAGGAACAGAGACACCGCTTCTGTATCCGTCTCCAGGCAGGTTTGCCCACATGCAGATACGCCCACCGACGAGTACCTGGCGTGAAGACTGCTTTAAGACAATATTTCACTGATTTGCCATTAGAAATAAATATTTCACAATGTAGAATGCCATTGTTTTTGTGACGAATCACTGTGCTTTAATGATGTTCAGTTTGTAACAATGAAAATACGTCCTGCCTATCAGATATTTACGTGATGATTCATAACAGTAGCAGAATGACAGTGATGAAGTAGCAGTGGACATCATTTTATGGTTGGGGTCACCACCACATGCGGCACTGAATGAAAGGGTGGCGGTCTTAGGAAGGCTGAACCGCTGAGCTAGAAGGAAGGCGTTCCTTCGTGAGCACATGCTGCAGGAGGGAGATGGGGCAGGGGCGGCATGACTCGCAGGCACAGCCAGGTCAGAGCAGACTTCTGGCTTCTCCCTGTGTGCATGCTCTGAGTGCTCAGCTCAGCTGAAGGGTTCTCCATGTCTGGGCTTTGTGGGTCTTTGGAGAGGGGGCTTCTCTGGGGGAAGCCTGCAGGCCTGGTGCCGGAGGTGGGTTCTCCAACCTTCAGCAGAGGAGCTGACACGGAGAGAGGACTCTGATCTCCTGTGGTCTGGAGTTAACAATGGCCTTGTGATGCTGCCCAGACTTGGAGCTGGCCGC